CATGTCATAGTTCAGCAATGATTGCACCCAAGGCAAAATTACAAGCCATTTGTACTAGTCTTGCACAAGGGGGAACTTAATGATTACTAAAATGTGAGGCTTTTACCTTTACTATAGATGCATCTACAGTAGAATGAATGCAGTTTGATACCACTGCATCTACACTACACTACAATACAGTTTTACACCATTTAAACTGCCAAGGCTCAATGCTATGGAATTGTAGGAGTTGCAGTTTTACAGTTGCAGAAGGCCTTCTCAGTCAAATAGTGTTGATGCTTCAGCAAACTACAACTCCCGGGATTCCATAGTATTGAGCCATGGTAATTAAAGTGGTGTCAAACTGCGCCCATTGTACATTGCTGAAGTACTCTAAGGGCCCTTCTAGACAGGTTCTATATCCCAAGATCTGATCCCAGTATTTCTGTTTATCCCGGATTATCTGGCAGTGCGGACTCATATAATCCAGTTTAAAGCAGAAAGTCTGAGATGAGATCCTGGGAGACAGGCCTGTTTGGAGGGCCCCTTAGTGTTACAAAAATAGATTCGGGTTCTGGGTGTCACACAGATTGGAAGGCATACTGGGGTTTTATGTTATGTTGGTTGTTGATACTTCTATGTTATTTTTATGCACTTGTTGTATTTTGTGTATTTGCACCTTGAGGAGTGCCTTGTGAGTCGCTTTGAGTCCCTTTGGGAGCTGTTGACAGGTATAAATAAAGTATTATTGCTAATGTTGTTGTTGTTTGGTTTTAATTAAACATATTAGCAATGGCCTAAAACATGGGGCACTCCACATGCTGCTGAACTGCAACTGCCATGATATCTAACCATTGGCTATGGTGGCTAGGACTGATGAGAGGGGGTGGCAAAAAGTGAAGTGAGGGAGTTCAGTCACCATAGGGAGTTCAGTAATGAAAGAGGTTGCTTTAGCTTATTTCATCTCCACCACAAGCCATTTTGTGTAAAACTATGTTATCGTGCCCTTTCAAAACCAAAGCTTACTTTGGATATAACAGCCCAATCTGTCCTCATTATCCGCTGCGGGCTGGTTCCAAGAGCCTCACTTCCTTAATTTGTCTCTATGCCTAAATATTCTAAAGCACATATGTCAAACTCCAGGTCCACAGGCCAAATCAGGCCCACTGTGTGGCCCTCCAGATGCAACTACCATCTGGAGGGCCACATACATACACACTTACCAGGGCCGCCTGGTGGCGCAGTGGGTTAAACCGCTGAGCTGCTGAACTTGACTGAAAGGTTGGCGGATCGAATCTGGGGAGCAGATTCGAACTGTTAGGCCTAACAGTTCGAAAACATGCAAATGTGAGTAGATCAATAGGTACTACTTCTGCAGAAAGGTAACAGTTCTCCATGCAGTCATGCTGGCCACATGACCTTGGAGGTGTCTATGGACAATGCCGGCTCTTAGAAATGGAGATGAGCACCAACCCTCAGAGTCAGGCACGACTTTTACCTGTTGTGTGTGTGTTTGTGTGTGTGTGTGTGTGTGTGTGTGTAGAGAGAGAGAGAGAGAGAGTTGGCCCTCTTTATCTACAGATTATTCATCCATGGATTCAGCAGCTGTTCGAAAGTACCCATAAGGCAGATGTGTGTTTTGGAAATGAGTTTGACATCTCTGCTCTGAATGCACCAGATCCCATCTGATCTTGTAAGATAAAGCAGAACCAGACTTAGTTCATACTCGAATGGGAGACCACCAAAAATACCAGGGGCTTAGGCTGTATTTCAGAGGTAGGAATTGGTGACATTACCTTAGAGTATTAATTGCCTAAGAAAATTCTATGAAATTCATGGGGTTGCCATAAATTAGGAAGCAACTTGAAGGCAAGGGCACACACATAGGCTTGTCTCTTGTCAAAAGTGTCAAAGATATCAGGTGTAACTACAATGGTAAAGCATATGTCTGTCAATTCCTTCCCACCAAACATCATCACTTCAGCCTGGCAGCACCTCAACTGAGGATTTTCCGTGGTGCTGCAGACCAGTGAGTCTGCACTATCCTTCCAGTCATAAGCTGCAACAGGAATGAGTGTCTGAATGTGCCTCAGAGACCACTACGATGCTGCCAGGCAGACAAGAAGGCTTTTTTTGGAGGTCTCATCTGGCTCTCAGTGGCCCCAGCTGTTATGAGTGTGCAAGCCAACGTCTGCTCGAATCAGAACTCAACAGCGAGCCAGCTTCTATTTAATTTTTTATTAAAGAGATATCTCTTATCCAGAATGATAAAATTCAAAACACTCCAAAATTGGGTTGCTGTGAGTTTTTCAGGCTGTATGGCCATGTTCCAGAAGCATTCTCTCCTACCCTTTTGCCCATATCTATGGCTGGCATCCTCATAGGTTGTGAGGTCTGTTGGAAACTAGGCAAGTGAGGCTTATATATCTCGGGAATGTCCAGGATGGGAGAAAGAACTCTTGCCTCATTCATACTTGCCTCCAAAATTGTCCACTTGGGTGGTTAGGATAGGGACACTTTTGCTTTCCTATGGCTCAATGAGCCCCTAGTGGTGCAGCAGGTTAAACCGCTGAACTTGCTGATCGAAAGGTCAGTGGTTTGAATCTGGGGAGCTGGGTGAGCTTCTACTGTTAGGCTCAGCTTCTGCCAACCTAGCAGTTTGAAAACATGCAAATGTGAGTAGATCAATAGGTACTGCTTTGGCAGGAAGGTAACAGCGCTCCATGCAGTCATGCCGGCCACATGACCTAGGAGACATCTACAGACAATGTCGGCTTCCTCGGCTTAGAAATGGGGATGAGCACCACCACCCAGAGTCAGGCATGACTAGACGTAATGTAAAGGGAAAACCTTTACCTTATGGCTCAATGTCCACAAACCTGTTTCATGTACATTATTAACAATATTGTGTATAAAATTATGTCCAGGATATATGTACAAAGTGTAGATCAGTAGTTCTTAACCTTTGAGCCATGGACCACCAGTGGGCCATGAGGACAAAAATCTGGTCTGCTAGTCTCTTTCCTCTTTATTGACTGATTTATTTTATTTCTGTCCCTTTTGCACCACCTGTCACTCCCTCCCTGTCACTGACCATGGCATATGTTCTGTATCAGAAACGAGAGCTGATGTGGTCTATCCAAGGCAAATGTCTGAATCAGCACCCCAAACCGAAGCTAAAGTTGACCAAAAACTCATTCGTAGGCCTTTTGGTACTAATGTTGGAGAGTGTTCTCTGGTCAAAGTGGTCCCTGGTCAATGGGGTCCCTAGTCAAGTGGGCCCTGGTCAAAGGGGTTCACAGTGAAGTGATTCCTGGTCAACTGGTCCCTGGCCAAAGTGGTCCCTCATCAAGTGATCCTTGGTCAAAGGGGTTCCCGGTCAAAATGGTCCCTCGTCAAGTTGTCCCTGGTCAAGTGATTCCTGGTCAAAGGGGTCTCTGGTAAAAGTGGTTCCTGGTAAAGGGGTCCCTGGTCAAGTGGTTCCTGGTCAAAGTGGTCCCTGGTCAAAGTGGTTCCTGGTAAAGGGGTCCCTGGTCAAGTGGTTCCTGGTCAAAGGGCTCCATGGTCTAGTGGTCCTTGGTCAAGTGGTCCCATGCAAACAGGTTACTGGTTAAGTGGTTCCTGGTCAAAGAGATCCCTGCTCAAGTGGTCCCAAGTCAAGTGGTCCCTGGTCAAAGTGGTCCCTAGTCAAGTGGTCCCTAGTCAAAGGCATCCCAGGTCTAGTGGTCCCTGGTCAAAGTGGTTCCTGGTCAAAGTGGTCCCTGGGTCAAAGGGGTTCCCAATCATGGGGTTGCTCCCTGGTCAAAGTGGTCCATGGTCAAAAAAAAGGTTGGAAATCACTGGTGTAGATGAAACATAAATGGGCCCCATTTCCAAGGTATCTCATCATCATTTATATGCAAATCTGGGGGGGGGGGGGGGGGGTGCCCCAAACACTTCTGGTCCCAAGCATTTCAGATAAAGGACACTTAAGCTGATGTCCTTCCAAGGGTGGGGATCCTGTGCCAAAGTAGGAACAACTCTGGAGTGATACGTGTTTTTTCTGGCCATCCTATGCTTCCAAGTACTGTTATTCTCCATGATCTCAGGCTACCTGACAGACACACATCCTTCCTCAGGATGGAAAAGATGAGAGGAAGAGAAAAGAGGGAGAGAGGGGAGGGGGGAAAGCGTGTGTGTGTGTGTGTGAGAGAGAGAGAGAGAAGTAGAGGGAGAGGGAGAGGGAGAGGGAGAGAGGGAGAGAGAGAAAAGCCAGGGGAAAGTGCTGGTTCTGGGAAATCGCTGCATTGCCGGTATCCTGGCTCTCTCTAGCTCAGAGCCCCGCCCATCCGCAGCGCATCCTCCTCCTCCTCCTCCCTCAGTCCCTCCCCCGCCCCGGGCCTAGCCTCGGATTCCTCCGCATTGTTTTTTCACCTGGATCCTATCGCCCGCCGCTTCACCTCCTCCTCCCGCTCTGGCGCAGTCTCCTCTCTCTAAACTCCCCCCCCCCTCCCTTTGCATCCCCACGTGATGGCTGGGAGAAGAATTGGGGGGTGGGGACTTGGGACAGAGCCGGCGCTGGGGCTTGCAAAGAGCCCGGGAATGGGTCTATTCAGCCCCTAAAACAAGCAGACACGGAAAGCAGCAGCCAGGCTAGGAAGCCCTGCAAAGCGCAACCCTCAAGGCGTGGGAGTCCAGTGTTAGGACTCCCGTCCAATTAGCGTCCTGTGCCTCACTGGCGCGCGAGCCGCCGGCGCCTTAGCTGTCAATCAAAGCCTGATGGATGGCTAGCGCAAGGTCAGCCCATTCGATGCGAAGCTGCATTGCATGAGACAGAAGCCGGCTCTTGCCCTTTCTAGTCGCCTTTCCCAGGTGCTCTGATGCAAGGCTGCTGCTTTAGGGATAGTGGTGATGGGGACCCGATTCCCTCCCTTTCCCCACTCGGGTCCCTCTCTGCAAGGCGTGAACGGGGTTCTTTGGCGAGCCCACGATGCGAAGGAGGCGAATCACCCCGCCTTGTGCCTCCCCTCCCCTTCTCTTACCTGCCATGGCTGGGGATTGGAGGCGTTGCAGGTCCTCTTTCAGGTCCAGGAAGGTGCTCGCCTCACTCGGAAGCCATGGCTCTTCTTGCCTTTCCTTCCCGGCAGATCCCCAGACCGGCAGCAAGGCTGGCCTCTCCTCCTCCTCCTCCTCCTCCTCCTGCTGCTGCTTCTTCTTCTTCCCCGCCCACGACCAAGCAAGGCGGCTTAGCCGCTGACCTTCGCCAGCCTCTCCTCCTCCTCCTCCTTCCTCCTGCTGCTGCTGCAAAGAGCTGGATGCTCCGAAGTCTGCAGCAGCCCCTCCCCTGCCGGCTTGCCTCCCACCCCCTCCAACAAGAGAAGAGGGGGAGGAGGAGGCAGCATCTGACAAAGGCAGCCTCTGGGGAATGACAAACACATGGGCTCCCCCAAACCAGAACACTTGAGGGGGTGTCACTACTTATTTATTTCTCACATTGCAACCCCCCCCCCCCTGCCCCCTTGCAGGTTTGGTTCCTCCTTCCCCAATCACTGCAGCCCCATCCATCACTGGCATCCGATCCTCAAGTCACTGCAGTGTGCTGCAAAGGCCCTCCGGATGCGAGAAGGAGGCATTGGAGCCCATGCAAATGGCAGCAGGGACAGAGAGGCCTCATCTGGACATCAAGGATGAGAAAGATAATTCGTTTTGGGGGGGGGGGGCAAGAAAAGGGCACAGATACTCAATATGCCCATATGGGAGCAGAACGGGAAGGGGAGCAGAACGCTGGTGTTAAATAAAAAGTATTAAACCGCTGAGCTGCTGAACTTGCTGACCAAGAGGTCACAGGTTTGAATCTGGGGAGCGGGGTGAGCTCCTGCTCTTAGCCCCAGCTTCTGCCAACCTAGCAGTTCGAAAAACATGCAATAGGTACCGCTCAAGTGGGAAGGTAACAGTGCTCCATGCAGGGGCGGCTCAACCATTACGCAAAGTAAGCATTTGCAGTATAGTTGATTTTGTCCAGGGGCACTCTGGAGGCACTCTTGGGGGAAAATTGACCTTGACATATGCAAGTTGCAGTTACTGGGATGTATAGTTCACCTAAAATCAAAGAGCATTCTGAACTCCACCAATGATGGAACCAAATATGGAACCAAATATGGAATCAAATATGGCACACAGAACTCCCACAACGAACAGATAATATATATCAGTGATTGGTTGGGGGGGGGGGGCGCCAAAATGCTGTTTGCTTACCATTGAAAATTACCTAGGGCCACCTCTGGCTCCATGCAGTCATGCCGGCCACATGACCTAGGAGGCGTCTACAGACAATAAGTAATGACACTTGAGGGGTTGTCATTACTTATTTATTTCTCACATTGCAACCCTCACCTCTGCCCCCTTGTAGGTTTGGTTTCATCCACTGCAGCCCCATCCATGACTGGCATCAGACCCTCAAAGGCCCTCAGGATGCAAGAAGATGGCATTGGAGCCTATGCAAATGGCAGCAGGGACAGTGATGCCTCATCAGGACTCAAGGATGAGAAAGATAATTAGTTTTTGTGGAGATGCAAGAAAAGGGCACAAATACTCAATATGTCCATATGTGAGGAGAACGGGAGCAGAATGCCAGCATTAAAGAAAAACTATTAGACATGTTGGGAGTCGCACGGTGGCGCAGTAGGTTAAACTGCTGAGCTGCTGAACTTGCTGACCGAAAGGATGCAGGTTCAAATCTGGGGAGCAGGGTGAGCTCCCACTGTTAGTCCCAACTTCTGCCAGCCTAGCTGTTCAAAAACATGCAAATGTGAGTAGATCAATTGGTACCACTCTGGTGGGAAGGTAACAGCACTCCATGCAGTCATGCTGGCCACATGAACTAAGAGGTGTCCCTGGACAACGGTGGCTCTTCGTCTTAGAAATGGAGATGAGCCCCACCCCCCAGAGTCGAACACAACTAGGCTTAATGTCATGGGAAACTTTTACCTTTACTTAGGAATCTCTAACTGCCATAGCTCAATGTTATGGAATCCACTTTAACTGCCATGGTTCAGTGGAATTTGGAGTTAGCAGAGCTACCTGCTCTCTTAGGCACTGAAACATTAGGAAGACCCTTGGGGGTGTCTGTGGACAACAGCGGCTCTTTGGCTTAGAAATGGAGATGAGCACCAACCCCCAGAGTCGGAAACAACTGGACTTAATGTCAAGGGAAAACCTTTACCTTTACCTTTACGTGTGGTCCTGGGCATTCCTGGGCACTAGTTGAAGTGTGCAGTACTGAAAGCCCGTCTCCCCTATTTCTCTACTCATGCGTACAGAGATAAATCCTCTGAAATGATATATGATAGTGACTGGGATTGGTAAGAGCTGCATTGCTCATTAATAATGATGCTGCAAATTCTCATGCATGCACACAGCATGGTATAAATGCAACAAAATGGACTGTGTGCAATGTCCTAGGTTCGTTCTGAATGCTTTTAAGGCCCAATCGTTCTGCAACAAGAGCAACCTTGGGAAGTAAGAAAAGCAGACTCAATGTGTTATCAAAGGCTTTCATGGCCGGAAGCACTGAGGTGCTGTGAGTTTTCCAGACTGTATGGTCATGTTCCAAAAGCATTATCTCCTGACGGTTCACCCACATCTATGGCAGGCATCTTCAGAGGTTGAGGGGTCTGTTGGAAACTAGAACAAGTGACATTTATATATCTGTGGAATCTCCAGGGTGGGAGAAAGAACTCTTGTCTGCTTGAGGCAAATGTGAATGTTGCAATTGGCCACCTTGATTAGCACTGAAGGGCCATAGCACTGATGAACCAACCTGGACACAGCATATTATTTGAGAACACAGAAATGCTGGACCACCCTAACAATCACCATGTCTGACTACACAGAGAAGCCATTGAAATCCACAAGCATGTGGACAATTTCAACAGAAAGGAAGAAACCATGAAAATGAACAAAATTTGTCTACCAGTATTTTTAAAAAAGTTCTAAAATCAGGACAGTAAATAAAGAGCAACACTCAAAAAGTGAAAGAATTCCAGACAAGAATCAATCAGGGCCAGCTAACACCTCCCAACAAAGGATTCCCCCAGGCAGCAGGCAGTCATGCTTTGAAGCTGCAAGGCCATTACATGCTAATCAAGCTGGCCAGTTGCAACATTCACACTTGTCTTAAGCAGACAAGAGTTCTTTCTCCCACCCTGGACATTCCACAGATATATAAATCTCACTTGCCTAGTATCCAACAGATCCCTCAACCTCTGAGGATGCCTGCTATAGATGGAGAGAATGCTTCTGGAACATGGCCATACAGCCTGGAAAACTCACAGCAACAAAGGCAGACTCGTCTGTGTTAGCCCATAATTAGCAGAGCTCATCTAAAACCAGTTCTGAATTGATAAGTGTCCAGTTTCATCCTGTAACCATGCATTTCTCTAATAAAACTATTTCCCTTCTCATTCATTGTGAGCAGATGGGACACCACAGTACCATCACTGTGGCTGCTTTATTGGCAGAGAAGGGTTCACAAGAACTGTGGACATACATATTTTATTACTGTAATTTTTATTCTGCTTGTATTCTAGCGGTCCCATGGCTTACAGGGTAGAAGCTCTGAGACTTTTTGTTTAGCAAGGATGTTGGTGCTGTCGACCATTGCTTAAAGGCACATTTGTTTCCTCCAAACGTACCCAAATTGCTCATAGGCGGGGAAGGGAATGGATTTCCCAAGTAAGAATATAAGATGAGCAGGCCTTGCTGCAGTACAAAATGTTTGAGGGGATCTGGCATGATCCTGAACAACAAAGAACCATTTGCTTTACAAAAGGCAGAAATAGATACAACCAGGCCTGTAGATAGAATAGATATGGATCAATGTAACTTCCTGCACTGAGGCCCAGTTTGGGGGACTCAATTTCAAAATGTAGCACTACACTACTAATAACAGCAGAACTCCTAGAATAATAGTTTCCCACAATCTCATAATAGCTTCCCACAATCTCATCACAGTGTCCCTTGACTGTATTGATAATTAATTACTGTAATCTATTGTGAGGACACATGATTTTGAAAATTGCAGCCAAATAGTCAGCAGCTGGCAACTTCAATGTCAGTGGGAAATGAATGGACTCTGGATTTCAACCTCAACTTCTAAGAAGCTGCAGCTGCAGCTCTATATATCCAGATAAGTTTATTAGCTTGGATGACTCCTTTAAAGTCTCAACCTGGGAGTCGGGACCCCTGGGGAGGGTTGCAAAAGGGGTGTCAGAGGGGTCGCCAAAGATAATCAGAAAACACAGTATTTTCTGTTGGTCATGGGGGTTGTATGTGGGAAACTTGGTGGGGTTCAGAATGCTCTTTGATTATGGGGGAACTATAAATCCAAGTAACTGCAACTCCCAAATGTCAAGGTCTATTTTCCCCATACTCCACCAATGTTTACATTTGGGCATATTGAGTATTCATGCCAAGCCTGGTTCAGATTCATCATTGTTTGAGTCCACAGTGCTCTCTGAATGTTGGTGAACTACAACTCCAAAACTCAAGGTCAGTGCCCACCAAATCTTCCAGTATTTCCTGTTCGCCGTGAGAGTTCTGTGTGCCAAGTGTGATTCAATTCCACCATTGATGGAGTTTAGAATGCTCTTTGATTGTAGGTTAACTATAAATCCCAGCAACTACAATTCTCAAATGACAAAATCAATCCCCCTCTCCCAATTCCACCAGTATTCAAATTTGGGCACATTGGGTATTTGTGCCAATTTTGGTCCAGTGACTGAAAATACAGCCTGCATATCACATATTTACATTAAGATTCACAACAGTAGCAATATTAAAGTTGTGAAATAGCAGTGAAAATAATTTTATGGTTTGGGGTAACCACAACATAAGGAACTGTATTAAGGGGTTGTGGGAAGTTTGAGAACCACTGGTTTAGATGAAACCACAGAACAAATTGACCGCCTCACGTCCAAGCATCTATTACCTGCTACTGGCATGAATATCTCACATTATGATTGCTGAACTTGAATAGATGTGCTGCAAAAATTGGACCATTGAAAAACTGGCAAGAGGAGTGTTTCAGAAGAACCCCAATTTCTGTATAAGTAGTAGTAAGATACTAATGGGACAACTTCCCTCCCACTTTAAAAGAAACACAATCTAGTAAGGAGTGATTGATTTAAATTGCTGTTTTATATGTTATTGGTTTTACTTTGTATTGCACTGTATGTTCATTTTATGCGTTGTGTCATATGTAAGTTGCTCCGAGTCCCTTCGGGAAAATGGAGGCAGGGTACAAAAATAACGTTGCTGTTGTTGTTGTGTATATTGTTGTTTGTGCAAAATGCTATTGAAGGATGTAAGATCTGGCAGGTCAACAGAATGATGAATCCATTCCAAGTTTTGGTTTGTGTTCAAGGAGTTATCCAAGGTACTGAAGCTATTTGGAGAATTGAGT